TGCGGATGTGTTCGCTTGTTGATTTTTTTTTATACAGAAAGGGACAAGATCCGTGGCTTTCCTGTGTCTTTTTTCCCAGCAGTGTTGGCAGCAGGGCAGGAACGGGCTGGAGAGGAACCAAGGGCAGAGGGTGGCAGGCAGCGGCACGGTGGCTGCGCCGGAGGTCCGTGGATTTGGGGGTTTATTCCTTGTAACTGAAGTGCAGACGAGAGCTACGGAATGGGAGAGGAGGCTCATGGAGGGGGTGTGGAGGAAGGAGGGGGAGAAGGTGGAGGGGTGCCAGCGGGGGAAGGGGAGCGGAGACCCTCGGCTCTCCCATCCCATCCGAGGGATGCGGAGGGACTCCCAGAACACCTGGCCTGACGGGGGAGATGTGCCCGGGAAGGGGAGCAGTGACAAACGTGGGGCAGTAGTGAAAGGAGGGGAACGTTCCTGAGAGGAATCATCAGCTGAATGCAGCATGTGGTTATTTAATTTTGGTCTAATAAGTTGGAGGTCGTTTGTGTTCTTTTTTTCACTTAATGTTATGCGAGAACTGGTTTTCTTTACCATTGATCCCTCCCCGGCCCCGTCCTCTCTCCTCCTGTGGATGAATAACTGAAGTCTAGAGGAATGAACTAATGCTACTGAACTGTTAAATTATTTTGTTTAATATTACACTTCGAGTATCTTTTTCCACATAAAATCTGTTTCGGAATTACAAGCGTTTTTCTTTACATTATTTAACAATGTACACTGTAAAAATTAAAAATACAAAAAAAAATAAAATAAAATGAATTCAAACTTTGGGCTTCCCTGGCCATAGTTAGTTGTGTGTTTTGCACTAAACCCCGGCACTGCGCTGCTTGTGCGATGGCGCCTCGCGCCGCAGTTCGTTACCTTTGTAGAATATTTAACGGAGTCGTTAAACAAACCCAACCTGCTTTGGTTGAGCTGTGGGTTTTCCAGCCTATCCGTCCTTCCCGGAGTGATTTAACCCTTATGTGATTTATCAGTTCATCACAGGAAAGTGCAAGAAACCTGGTTCAATGAGACCCTGACCTTCTGAAAAGCAGTGACCAGTCATGAGCCACTGGCCTTTTACTGGTCATCTCTTGAGCTTCCTACTTGTAACTACTCAGTGGTAGTCTCTTGAGCTTCCTACTTGTAACTACTCAGTGGTAGTCTCTTGAGCTTCCTACTTGTAAACTACTCAGTGGTAGTTGTCTGTTGAGCTTCCTACTTGTAACTACTCAGAGCACACTTGCTTCTTTGAGCTCGTTAACCAGGAAATGAGTTGTAATGGTCTGGAGGGTCCAGAGGCATGAGCAAGCTGCGAGTGTGGTTTGTATGTCCAACTTCACGTTTATTTTATATCGAAAAGGGTTGAACACTTGTTTAAAAACAAAAGCACAGCTCCCACTTTTTTAGGAAGCTCCAAGCAAACGCTGTCCGAGATGCTACGGGAACTCCTGGGCTGCGGTCCCAGCGCGCCCCTGCTCCTCTGCTGCCATCACACCAGTATGGCTGAGGAAGGCAACGAGGGGGCAGTGGGGGGGGGC